TTTGCATTTAACATCCGTTGAAGTTCGTTTTTGCAATTCACTTCCTTTGAATTTCGTTCACCCGCGCCGTGCTAGGGGGAGCGTAGGTATTCACGTCCCCCATCTCAGGTTGTTCGTGAATATGGCAAAAACGGCGGCGCGCAGCGCCGCCAATTTTTTGTATACCAGAGGCCAGTTTTACCAACAGAAAAATAGCCGCAGGCCGGAATTTTTTGCCTTAAGACCGCTTTGATCTGACCTTAAAAATGATTGAGGCATTTCGGACATTATTTTTTACGCTTTTTCGATTGTCGCTTACTGCGTGTCACTACGTGGCCCAGGAGCCGAGTTAGATGGGGGCGTGACCCCCCCCCCCCTCCCCCAGCACGACAAGGAAAACTCAGGCCACAAGCACGGCGCGAGATAACATTATGAACATGAGTTATTAATCTTGTATTACCTCTTTGCACCCCACTAACATTGGCAAACGATACTTTTCAGACTCATTTCCATATATTTATAACATTGTATGTTCCTCTGCCTCATAACACCATGGGGCATAGCATAGCAACATATTTGGTCCTATACACAAACATAAACAGTTAACACCTTCCTTCACGCATTGGTGCATTTGCGTGGCCCGTCTGGCCAAGCCGGGACGGGGCTAACGGGCCAAACGCCCCGGCCCGGGGAGAGCTGGGGTATACCTCCCGGCTCCCCGGCCGGGGAGATTTGGGTTGCATTGTTTACCCATTCACCCATTGTGTTGCATTGCTCACGCTAACATATTACTCATTCTTGTCAGTTCAACTATGAAATCAGTTCAATGAGCAGCTCAAATAAAAAACATGCGAATTTGAGACTACGTTCTGTACAGAATGCTTATAGTATGTACTAGTGTGAACTATGGAGTAGTGGTGTCAATCGGAACTTGAATCTTCGGAATTCCGATTTTGTCCAATGTCCAATTCGGAATTCGGTTGGACAATGACAGCAGGCTTTGGACAACTTTGGACAATCGCTTGCTACACCTCAACATTTTCATAAAGTAATCGTGTTTAACATTGATTGGCTATTAGAAAGCTCAGCTTTCGATATGAATACCACTTTTGAGCTGGTAACGATACATTAAAACCAAATTAAATAACGGTGTTGAGTGTAAACTATTGCGTAGACGTCGGACATCTTTGGACAAATGGCTGGCTTGGACATTTTTGGACGGACAGCCGACGTAAGTATTGGACATTGGACGGACATTGGACATATGTTTTCTGAAATTGACATCACTACTATGGAGCTGATTTTGTTTGGAGAACAGGAGCAGTCCCACATCGGGTCAGTCGAAAGGGGTCCTTCATCGGCTGTTGCCTGTTCTTCGGGCCCGATGGCCTTGGCAGGGCCTTCTCAGCGGGCCCTTCCGTTTTTGGGGCCCGGCCAGGACAAGCTGTTCCTGAGACTGGGCCCGGAAGCGTATATCTGGGCCCGTTTTCTTGGTAGGTACTAGGTACAATGTCGAGGTCAAGGGCCCATCACTCAAGCTCAAAAGCCTGGTTCAAGGCCTTCTGTGCGGACTTCTCCGCTTTTTTAGACGTCCTGGGTCACAGGTTTTCATTGGCTTGGCCCGGTCCGCTTTTGGGGCCCGGCCCGTATGGGTACCAGCAAGGCCCACGGGGCCCTTTTTGGACCCGAAAGCCTGGGCAAGATCTTCTCAGTGGGCCCTTCCACTTCTAGGGTCCAGACAGGCAAAGATGTCCCAGTGACTAGCCCCGGAAGATTTTTTTTCGGATCCGGTTTCCATAACTTTTCCAGGGCCAATTAGCTCAAAAGTGGGACCTTCGGGCTCGATAAGGATTTGGGGTCCAAAACCGATAAGGTTTGGGCCCGGCAGGGCTAAAGGGGCCCTTCCTCAAGCCTGAAGACACAGCCATATCTTTCTGAACGGGTCCTTCCGCTTTTGGGGCCCTGCCGGGCTCCAAATTGCCCTGGCTCTGCCCAAAAGTGGGACCGAAGGGCCCAGTTACGGACCCATGTGTGGCCCGGCAGGGCCCAGAGGCCTAACCCTGAACCCGAAGGCTCAAACAAATCCTTCTGAACAGGCCCTTTCGCTTTTTGGCTCTGCCGGCCCCAAACTGTCCCTGGCTATTCCCGAAAGCGGGCCCGAACCCTGCCGGGCCCGCTTTTGGGGCCCGGCAGGGCCCAGGAAGGGGCGACCGCCCCCGTCGCCCCCCCCCCCCTTGGATACGTCCCTGAGACCATCCCCGTAAGGAGTCTCAAATATCGAGCGCCGGAGCGACTCGAACCCGGGCTCTCACTACCGGGAGTCTGGTGCTCTACCAACTGAGCTACGGGACAGGCAAGGCAAAGTTACAGGAACATGAGAGCATTCAACCAGCACCGCCACCGCGCCGGCCCGGCGCGGCGCTGTAGCGCCTGGCACGGGCCCGGCGCGCGGGCTAACAGACATCACGGGTCAGTGGGCGAGCACGGAGCAGCTACCTACCACAAACGTTGACATACATCAATAAGGAATAAATGTGCACCGCGTTTTCTCCTCCAGACGGAATTTGGATTATAATCAATACAAAGGATTCATGTAAATATTGACCAAACCAATACAAATCAACAAATATATCAAGTGTCGACCGCCAGTGCGTTTGTATAGTGTCTGTATCTTCGTACCTCTATTTAATTAAAAGCGTCCAAACAAGCTGAATTCTATAGTCCAAGCAGTTAGCGCCACAGAGGGGTTCGGGAGTCGGGACACGTTTAATGGAAATGTTCGTTCAACGTCGCTGAAATCTATATATGAATGCTTTGAGGGTAACTTTGTTGCACTATGTGTTAGCGGGTGGTTACCAGATCCCTGCCACTCAGCTTCAATGCAAGCCGATTTGTCCGGGGATTGGCTGATTCGGTGGCCGGTGCAGTCTCCATTCCAGGAACCGATTAGAGAGAAAAAAAATCCCGGTAAGAGGAATGATTCCTTCATAAAGTCTAAACTAATTAATTTCCCAAACTCAGTGTTATACACCTTTTTACGGCCAAATGTACAGATAGTGCACTCAGTTAAGTAAGATGTCACCGACGAAATGAACTGCCCTGTTGTTCTTCTCTTTCGTTTTACATTTGACAGCCACGCGTGATCTATCGCAGTACTGGTCGTGCCCCGTGAGCCTGGACCAGCTCTTGTGTTAGTTTCTCGTCTCATGTTCTTATTGCCTACAATTTGTCACTCGCGCTATCGCTTCACACTTGTCGGCTGTTCGTGCTCGCCGCGCACCGTATCGTATAACCGAACGTGCCGCGCGAGCCTGCTCAGACTTTTCTCACCAGTTTCCAGTGTCGCTTTCTGAGTGCTTTTAGATGTACAACCTAATTGTTCTCTTTGTGCCCGCGGCGGCTCCTCGAGTCGCTGCGGGCAGTCTCCACTTGAACGCCACCGGGTATAGTCCTCGGTGGCGGTGCGCGGCTCCGCCGGCGCCCCGATGTGCGCCGGTGTACTGAACCAGTGACGGAATCGTGCTACCACGCACGATTCCGACGGCACCCCCCGTTCGCGGTGCCCAGTGAACGCCACTGAGCGCAGTGGTGTAGTGAACCAGTGACGGAATCGTGCACCGCGCACGATTCCGACGGCTCCCCCAGCGGGTTGCCAAAGTGAACAGTGACGGAATCGTGCCACCGAGCACGATTCCGAAGGCACCCCCGTTCGTGTGCCCAGTGAACCCCGCCACTGAGCCCTGCTCAGTGGCAGTGCGCGGATTCGCCGGCACCCCGACGAGCGCCGGCGTATTGCAGTGCAGTGAAGGAATCTGACGGCGCCCCGTCCGCGACGGGGCCGATGTGTCCGCCCCGGCGGACTCTGAACTCTGAACAGTGAACTTCATCGACAGTGCTCAACTGTGTTTTTCTGGTCTACCTGTCTACTCTGCGTTCTTCATTTCACCCTCGTCTACCGTTCATCATCATCTATCGTCCGGATTTCTTCAATACATTCTTCAAAATTCATCTACGTTTTCTCCGCTATAAGAAATGTCCCGGCTCCCACCAGAGGCACGAGAACGTCGGCGACATAAGATGTAGTGCAACCGATTTCGAAACTTCACCAGACAGACTATGCCGTAGCATGGAGCTACTCCATGGCCGTACTGTCGAAATCGCCAGCACTATTACTGAAATGTGTGCAGTGCGCACTGCCGGTGCGGGGGTGACTTGCTGTGCACTCAGCACTGCCGCCTAAACTGGGCTCACAAGGTGTAGGTGTGCTGCCTCCGTCAATGCCTAATACCCACTCTTACTTTGTAACGCTAGTGCGTTTCGTTACAGAACCAATTGCATACGGGCACCGTTCTAGAGCTAAGCGATCGGGAGCGCGCATTGCATCAGTTCATTGGCCAAGGAACGCATTTACAAACGTGATTTCCAAGTATACCTACTGATAGCTAAGACCCGAACTCTGAAGGATTGCAACTGTACATACCTATATGTGTGCATTGGCTCCTGCCATTATCGTATGCTGTGTCGGATGACATGAGCAGTGACTTACCTACGCGAGCATTACTAATGACATCCGCTGTGAGGAGGGGAATTTGTACCTACTGTATGACATGAGCCATTTGCAGTGTAAGACAACTATTACTCAGTCTATTTCTGTCAAGACGGCCACTCCGTTTTCCTGTAAGTAACAACTGCTCCGTCGAACTGGTCCCGTGACGTCAGCCGAATTCTGGAGGTCGGCTGGCGGTTTGTGTGACGTCATCGGATGGCAGTGACGTCAGCAGCGCATGTCGGCATGTCTGCGAGGTCTGACTCTGGACTGTGGCGACTGGCGGCTGCAGTCCTGGCGGTGGGGTCGGCCTGGCCACCTCACAGGTCACAGCGCGGCGGTCAGCCGCGGAGGGCGGGACGGGGCCTACCCCAGCCATCGACCGGCGCCGCCCCTGGGCCGCTCCGCCTCCGTGTAAACAGACGGCTGCGATCAGCTGGGGGCGCGGTCTTATCGGCCGCAGACAGAGCCTCACCTGTGGCACGGGACGGGCAGCGCAGACACACGGACACACAGCTGGGGCTCGGTGGCCCAGTCGCTCAACCGCACACAGCACAGAGCCGCCGCCGGAGCGACCGCCGCAGCCGCACTCCCCTCCGCCAGCCGCCTCACCCCTCCCCTCCCCGTCCCTCCCCGTACAGGCTCGAACACGGCCAGGCGCTGCAGCCGGCCGTACAGCCTCGAAAACCCTGCAGGCGTAGCATCGACTGGCTTCGTATGAGTGCAGCATGAGTTTCACTCCCAGTGCACAGTAGCGCCGAAACACCTTCAATTAAGGGGGGGAGGGGCACGTCGACTTTTGGTCCCATTCTTTCCATGCAATGCCCATAGGGCTAATGTTAAAATGCCAAAAGCAAAGGGGGGCACGGTGCCCCGGTGCCCTCCCCGTTCTGCCGCCTATGTCAGTGCACTTTGACTTGTTCGTCAGGCATTCATTCCATTCCCGAACGTGAACTGAACCAGTGCAGTCACGGTCATAGATACTAAGTGCAGTCTGCCCGTATGGTTTTCACGATAGTAGTGGGAACCTGATGTCACTGGGTCATAAGTCGGTCGGTAGCTGAAGCTTCACTGATGCGTATTGCGCAGTCACACTGCACAGGCCTGCTGGTACCTAGTGATCTGATGCATTTTGCCCGTCTTGCAACATCAAGCTGGTACAAAAGCAGCCTTGCTTGACCGCTTCAGTACACACTGCACAGTGCACACTGCACACTGCACGTCGCACAGCCGACTCAGTGCACACTGAGCTGGCGGACAATAACGGCCCCCTGGGCCCCAGTCATGAATTGTGGCAAGATCACATCCCAGCATAGGTGTCGATTTGTATACTTTTGGGTGTGCCCAGGCACCCCCAATGCTGAGTTGGGCACCCCCAAGGGGCTCTGGGCACCCACAACCAAAGTTGGTACTGGCGTCACTGTTACGATCCTTTGAACGCATTGTTTTCTCTAATTCATAGGCGCGGTTACGGGGGGGGGGGGGGGGGGGCAGTGGAGACAGTTTACCCCCCCCCCCAACTCTGGGGCCGTGGGGGCGGTGCCCCCACAGCTTTAAGACGGAATATCTCACTTATTTGCAATTGTTTTCTTTTTTATGAAAACGCCAAGGGATGAAAAATAAGTGGCCTAAAACCGGCGAGAAAACTAGGTTTGGGGATACCCTACAGGGTGTCCCAGAATTGACCGAACACTGTTTATCAGCGTATAAGATGAGGAAAAAATAATTGCACATTTTTATGCTTGTCGTCCAATAAAGTCAACTAGGCCAGCAACAATATGACATATGCAATAGACGCGTTCATTACAATATTAGTCGGCAATTGCGGATAAATGAAGCCCCATGCTGGTTTCAGTTGTTTTACGGGTCTCCCGAAAATGGTTGTAGGCCGGTTTCCATTGACCTCTTGCCGGAAGATACTGCAGATATTTTCAATTAAATTTACATCCAAACCGTTCCCAGGTAATAAGGCATTCTCCCCCAAAACGAAAAATTCTGCCCACACCACTGTTACGTTGTTTTTGGCATCGGAAATAGATAACCCCCATGCCTGAACATAGCGCGACCGGCTTTGGCTTCCAGCAGATTTGGTTTCCAGGACGAACCCGTTCATGGCCATTCGGTTGACGGCAGCCAGTTTGTGTAATGCTAGAATGTGACCGCAGTGGTACTCTCTTGTAACAGTCATGTTTGGAGCATCACATGAAACTGAATGAGTGAACTATGGCTCAAAATGTCTCACACTTTAATTTTCGATGGGTGCCTGTCCGTCTCCGCTGTTGTAGCGTTGTCGCCATCTGACGTCCAGACAAAACTTCTTTTGGCGGTGCAAAGGGCAGAATACCTCAATTGGATATTCGTAAGACCACAAAATGTGTTTCAGTTCACTTTTGTGTCCAATGTAATATGATTTTGGCTAACTTGCAGCGATTCGCGCTGCCTTTTTGTTAGTTTTGGCATCCTTTTCATTCCAAAGGCCCCAAATTCCAATTTTTTGTCGACGATAGGGGTGAAAAGATATTTTGTAGCTAGTCCTGACCAGTTGTTAAGCTATCTTGCAGGTAGATCGGTGACGTTTGCTGACCATATCATGGCAACCACCCGCTTGACGACTGGTGCGTGCTCCGTTTTGGCCACGCCCAGGCTGGTCAATCATGTCCTACCTTGCTCTCTCTGGCTTTGCTCGCTGAAGTAACTGCGCTTTGCTTACTCTTACCTGCTTGCAGATGAGCTGCTGGAGCTATCCTGAAGGAACCATGCCGAAAATCTGTCTAGTGTCTACAAAGTTCAGAACTGCAGTTGATTCACCATGGTTGCCTTTTAGTGGCTTAGGCTAAAAACGGAAAGGGACTACTATTTGTTGACTCTGTATAATAATTGATTGACTCGAGTCGTGACCGGTCAACAAAAACGTACTGTCTCCAAGCTCGATAGCTAAGGGAAGTCTTATAAACGTATGAAGCTTCTATCTCATTAGAATCGGGCGTAATCGTACTTTTGGCCAGAAAATAAGTGTTCGGTCAATTCTGGGACATCCTGTAGGTTGATTTCAATTATGGTGTGCCCCCCCCCCCCAGTCTGAAAGTAGTTCCCACGCCCCTGCTCTAATAACCGTACATCAGAATGCGTTGTAAAAAATAGACACAATTTATCGCTTTTTTATACCAGACAGCAGCATGTTTGGTAGCCATCGACGCATTCGTGCCGCGTCAATGGGTTTTCGGTTCCGGACGTCCTGAAATTTTGCATTGAGTGGCGAGATAGTCTTTTGGTCCGAAATATCATGGTTTAAAGGTAGTGTGCCAGCTTTCCTGGACCATATGGAGTTAATGACCCGGATAAGGAGAACCGGATTTTTAGAACTCATCCATACCTTCAAAACTCATGGAAACGTCTTAAATTCTCCAAATTTTGAGTACCCCAGTGCGAAATTCGCCCCGACGGGTTGTCGGTCGTACCCCAACCCCATTTCACACCACTATGAACAATAAATGCACACACTAAAATCGCTATTACCAGACATGTGCACGGATCCCAGACAACCAATCACGGAAATCGAGATGGCCATTAGATTGACGGTCTTCAAGCATGAAATTATGGTGGAAAACATGGCTCATAGAAGCCTCTCAATGAACCAACTATTTTGCATTCCTTCAGGGTTAACAGTTCTGAGAAAATCCCTCAAGATCCATCTCGGATCCATGATTCGTGGCCATGGATCCGAGATGGATCTTGAGAGATTTTCTCAAAACTGTGAACTCTGAGGGAATGCAAAATAGTCGGTTCGTTGAGAGGCATCTATTAGCCATGTTTTCCACCATAATTCCATGCTTAACGTCCGCTAATCTAGTGGCCATCTTGATTTTCGTGTTTGGTCGTCTGGGATCCGTGCCCATGTCTGGCTATTACCGATAGGCTCATCCAATCAAGTTTCGATAAACCCGTTCATCATCATCTCCTGCGGTTTCGAACACACCTGTTAGGTGGCTTCTGATGCTCGTCGAGGTCGGAATTTCCTAATACGCTGCTCATGTACTTTGTGGTGCGGTGGTGGTGTGTCGGGCCGCGCGCTCTGACTTCGGCCAAGAAAAATGCGTCAGCTGATCATTGTCATTTCTGCCCCTTTCGTGTGGTGAAATGGGATCATAATTTAAGAGACGGCTGTTTCATATCAATTATTTTACATAAAATCATATTTCAAACCATAAATTAATGCTCGACAGCCAAATTAAAGAAACAATACCAATACAGGCTTACAGTTTAAGTTCGACATTGTGTTGTCTACGATTAGCCAGCTGATAACTCATTCCCTTACGTCGTAACTCTATAATGACCTTTGCTTATTGTCACATGTGCGCCGCATTCGCGATTGTTGCCGACGCCTGTTTGCAGGTCAGCCCACTACAGTTGTTATACATATCGAAAAACCGATAAACTTTTAGGCGAAAAAAGCACTATTCCAGGCCCATTTTTTTATTTTTTTGCAATATTAGGTAAAAACAGAAGCTTCTTATCCTAGGAAAAATAAAATGGGAAATCTTTGAAAGGTGGCACACTACCTTTAACCCGCGCACCAACGGGGATCCGCATTCCGCGCCAACTTCACACCGACGGGGGCGGATACCTGTTCCCCGTGATATCTCGAGAACGAAGCAAGATAGAAACAAGCGGTAAATGGCATGGGATACAGACGGACAAAGTCTACAATTTTTACCGAGATCATTTTTAGGTCAGGTAAAAAATGACGTCACAGGGGTAAACAAGTCAAAATAGCGGCGCTTAAGGTAGACAGTTTTTCACGAATAGCGATATTGAAGTACCAATGTCTGTCATACCCACACCGAGTGGCTGATTGCTTTGAAAATTTCACAGATTGATAAGGCTAACAGTTTGTACCAAATGTTTATCTCGAAACTTCGATACCGGTGACCTAAGGTCAGGTCAATTCTGCCACCTCCCAATTACCTATAAGTCGCATGTGATAATTCTTCGGAATGCTTGAGACGAGGCATTAGTATCACGGATGTTAGTTTGTCGGACTTTCGTTCCCGTCTTGAGTTGAGATGTTAGTTTCACGACATTTCGGCCAGTTACTTCTCCGGCCGTCGTCAGTTGTTCTTTGGTCCATAGAAAGATCTTGGGTGTTGGTGGCGTTGCGCCGTACGCGTCATACCTTATCGAAAGCTCCTGTGGTCAGCGAGAAATGATCTCGGGTTGCCCTGGTGATAGGCGACAGTTGTTACTAATACCTACTCCACCGCTCGAGGCAGACATAGCGGCCAGACAAACGAACATCTCACCTCAAGACGGGACGAAAGTCCGACGTCTATCACCAGTGTCAATGGAAGGGAATTAAAATGCGTTTTTCTGGACGGACACCATTCTGAACACTTCCAAACACCTATTAACAATTCAACATGACACACTGAACTGGAAAATGACACCCGACGTGAAAATGACGTGACCCTTCCTTATATCCCTGAGGTCATCTCAGGTCACAAAAGGGAGCCTAACAGTTTTTCGTTAATTACTTCTGGTAGGCGCATGCTAGAGCGATGATCGATGAACGGATCGACTGACATGCAACATAACCTTTTCCGGTCAGGTCTTGACCTTGACC